CTTGTCTTTATTTGGATGAAAAAAATATGCATTTATCTTGAATACAAATCGAGATATTTGCGAAAGAAGGAGGTGGGGGTCACCTGTGTTCAGAGGTAAAATTAGTAAGAAAATGGCTGCCAAAGATTAGTTATTTCCTTTGCTGAAGAGTCCATGGTAACAGAAAATTTACTTTTTTGAGCCTTTAATCAACGCTCTTTAGCAAAATCCACACAGAAATGAGTTCTTTAATTGGCAAGAAATGTATTGAGTACCAAAAAAAAATATTTTTAAAAAATGATAAAAATTCACAAACCGGTGGAAAAATGCAAGTTTCTTTACTTTGATTTTTTTGACGAGAGCCTGATTCCACCACGCCGCCTCACAAATTATGTTTTATGGTAAAGAAGGAGCAAACCACACCACCGCACCCACTTGACTAACCACCCACTGACTCAGGTTCCGCCCGATCTCTCACCTCTCTATACAAAGTGAAGTAGGTAGACACAGTCCGGCGCAACACAATGTTGAAAATAAAGTAGACGAACGGGTTGACGCAGCTGTTCAGGTACGCCAGCCACAGAGATAACTGTTTGGAAGAAGAAATGCAGGACCAGCAAGACTGAAAGACCGCATTGAAAGTTACATTGTTTTATTTTTGTCATGTATTATTATTTCGACCCCCTCATTCCTATTTTAAAAAATATTTACTGTACGTCTGTCCAGCCCATCCCCTTCCCGGCATGTAAGTTAAGTGAAGTCAGATCCTGACAGTCCTCTTTCATCTCAGCTTTATTTACTATACAGTTATCCTACAATTCCTGTCCTTGAAACTTCAGGAAAGGCGACTGTCCATGGCCACGTTACTATTCACGATATTTCTTTTTATTCCTTCTTCCCAGCTCTGTTATCTTTCCAAAAAAAAAAAAAATCGCTTTGAAAATGGTTACAAAATCCAGGAGACAACAAGGTACAAACATGGTATTAGTGCACAGTTCATTTTTCAAGGTGACGACATAGATTTGTAATTTGTTAAAAACAGGTATCTTTTCTTTATTACTAACCCCCATTCCCAACTTTCCCCATCAACCTAACATTGCTCCCGGTTTATCAGTGGCATTCGCTTGATCTGTTGACACCAAATATGACTGTTTTTTCCGTTCCCTTTCATCTGATTACATCCGCAAAGAAAGATTACATCAGAAAGATGAACTTTTAGGAAAGGTTTGTTGTGATTGTTGTAACAGTTTTTTGTCAATGTGTTTGGCACTATACAGTACTTTTCATGGCTAATTTGCAATATTTCGTATTCTCTGTGTATGCTTTGGCTTATCAAACTTATTGTAACAACTTTTCTGCTTGATGTCATATTATGCAGCATCAAGGAAAGTTGTTTTGTTGATTGTCAATAGAAGGAGTAGCCAGAGATGCACCAATGCTACACTTATTATATTTTTTCACTGGCTGTAGTCGCAACATGTTCATATTACTTCAACTATTTTTAGGTCATAGATCTGAAGGTACATATTGCCTTCCATTCATTTGTTTCTGTCATGTTTTACTGCCAACTGCCAATGCTATTATTCTTGACATCCTCTTTAACATGTTTTAGGAATGGACTTTCTTCAGTTTTCCAAAAATACGGATGATTTGAATTTTTGGTTGCCAAGGAAAAAAAGAATTCCATGAAGATTCATATGACCTATTGTGATTTAGGTTGGAGTGGAGGAGAAACACAAGACAAAACAAGAAGAAACAAGGGTCATGGCAGCATCTTGTCTCAGTCTCAGTTCTTGATGTTATGTATAGGCTTTATATCAATAGTAAAATAATTGAAATAAATTTGTCTTACAGTGATTTGATAATGGTCCAAGTTCTTCAGTAATGAATGTTTGTATAAATTATTTTAGAACGTTCTTGTGAGAGATTGATAATTTTGTCTCTTTATTGTTCCCACTGGGCTCTGGACTTTTCTGCTTGATGTCATATTATGCAGCATCAGGGAAAGTTGTTTTGTTGATCATCAATAAAAGGAGTAGCCGGAGATGCACCAATATTTAGGTCCTAGCTACATTTATTATATTTTTTCACTGGCTGCAGTTGCAACGTATTCATATTACTTCAGCTATTTTTAGGTCATAGGTTTGAAGGTACATATTGCCTTCCATTCATTTGTTTCTGTCATGTTTTACTGCCAACTGCCAATTTTATTATTCTAGACACATTCTTGTACATGACTCATGTGTTTTTTGGATGTATTTTCATGTTCAAATTGCTTCATGAGGTCTGCTGAGGGCTGCCTTGTCCTATATGCTACAAGTAAAGTTTGTGTATATCTACAGCAGACTTTGTTATTTCTTTACTGTGACAAAGAGAAGAAAGAAAATAAAGATCTTGTCCTTTCCAGCATTGTTGAACTTACTCAGTTTTTGTCAGTAGTGGGCGGGTGGCCGGTGCTCTGGTGTGGTTTGCTCCTTCTTTCTTATCAAACATCTAACGTCTTTATCTCCCCTCCTTCTTTTTTATGTTTGTTACTCTCTTGTAACACCTCTAATCTTCGGCACTTATATGACCTTATTGTGTTGCGAGTGCCGTAAAACACTTACTAAACTAAAACTTGTCACAGTAGATTTAGATCGAGTTGCAAATTGGGTGTTCGGCTTTTTAAGAGCTATGGAAGCTTGCCTGTCGTATCAAAGAAACTGCTTGGGATACTTTGATTGTGCAGGCTTGTGGGGGGGGGGTTGTTTGGGGTGAAACACCGTACATTTCTCTCTCTCTTGCCCTTTTTAACTCCCAGTGGTGCACAGGCCATCAACAGCATTACTCCAGCGAAGCCTGTCCTAAGCATCCTTTTCTATCAGTTTCCATGATGTCCCCGCTTTTTCAATTTCAGCTTGTACCGCTCGCCTCCATGTCATCTTTGGTCTTCTCTTCTTTCGTTTTCCTTGTGGGTTCCATGTTAAGGCCTGCCTGATGATGCTTGACGGGGGGGTCTCGTCAGGGTGTGTCCAATCCTTTTCCATTTCTTCACCTGTATGTCTTCCTTTACTGGCCTTTGGCTTGTTCTCTCCCACAGTTGAGCGTTAGTGACTCGATCGTACCACTTGATCCCCACTATCCTTCGTAGGCATCCATTTACGAAGCTCTGCAGTTTCCTTGCTGCTGATGCTGTGAGCCTCCATGTCTCTGAACCATAAAGTAGAACAGTCTTCACGTTTGTTTTGAAGATCCTCAGCTTGGTGTTCAATCCCAGTTCCTTAGACATCCATATATTCCTGAGAATGATGAATGTTGCTCTTGCCTTTTGGATTCTGACCTTGATGTCTTCGTCTGTTCCCCTTGCCTTGTTGATGACACTTCCCAGGTAGGTGAAGGATTCAACATCCGCCAATGGTGCCCCTTGCAGTGTGATAGGAACGTCGGCTGCATTCATTCGTAGAACTTTCGTTTTATCCGTGTGAATATGGAGTCCAACACTACGGGAGAAAGTCCTGAGGCGATCTGTTTTCTGTTGCATCTGGGCTCGACTGTGAGAAAGAAGTGCCAAGTCGTCAGCAAAGTCTAAGTCTTCCAGCTGATTGGAAAGGGTCCACTGTATGCCACAGTGTTGTCCCGATGTAGTCTGTCTCATTATCCAATCCACTGCTATTAAAAAGAGAAAGGGCGATAGCAGGCATCCCTGTCTCACTCCTGTATTAACTTCAAACGAGTCTGTCCGCTGCCCTCCAAGTAAGACACTGCAACTCATTCCCTCATACATCTTCTTGATCAATCTCACGAACTTGTCAGGTATTCCGTAGTGGCGCAGAAGCTTCCATATTGAGTCCCTATCTAGGCTGTCAAAAGCTTTCTCGTAGTCAACAAAGTTAACGCACAGGGAAGAGTTCCACTCTGTGGACTGCTCCACTATTATCCTCAAAGTTGCAATCTGATCTGTACATGATATCTTTTTACGAAATCCTGCCTGCTCCTCTCTTAGTTTTACATCCACGGCTTCCTTCATTTACTGCAAAGGCCAAGGACATTTATAAAATCAAGAATTCTTCTGGGATCAACAACAACAGAGAACAGAAAAACAGTTTGACATTCCACCAGCAGAGATTGGTCTGGGGGTGAGTGAAGAAAAGCCCAGTTTAGAGGAGATCAAGGAGACGATAAGACACAAGAAAGCAGGCAAGGCAGCCGGCCCAGATGGAATTCCCCCAGAAGTTCTCAAGGCGGATAACGACACTGCGGCAGGGATTCTTCATGGAATTATTGGCAAGATATGGGACTACTACTACACCTATTTCTACTGCTGCTACTACTACTACTACTACTACTACTACTACTATACTACTACTACTACTACTACTACTACTAATGAATGAGAGAGAGAGAGAGACAGAAGGGGCGGCTCGTGGGGCTAAAAAGTGGACGTGCACAATATTAAGCTATCGCATGCAGAAGATAGTCAAGGGCATAGTAATTGAGACGATGTATAATTTTAGGATCTTTGGGTCGGCGAGGGAGGGCCTCGTGCTTTTATTTTCCTTCTTTTTACTTGTCGCTTTGATTTCTAGTACAAAATTTGTTTGTTAGCTAAACATCAATTTCGTTCTTCCTGTATTGGAACTGAACACTCAAGTAATAACTTTCACTACTCCACTACAAAACCATTCAAAGGCACAACTCATAGGACCTCCCTCAGGTTTACGGTCACAGAGTCACTTAAAATAGTGGCAAGACAAACAATGAACCAATCACAATTCTCTTGAGCACTCCGCTGGATTGCTCTGGGGCTCACATACTATTGGCAAAGAATAGCGTACGGTCTATCGCGTTTACTTTTAGATTGCCTACTGTGGGCTATG